AGTATCTTATACAGCTTAGTACACAACAACTTATGCACCTAATTTAGTAAAATTTAACATTCTGATACCTTATATTGCCGGTCAAACAACAGGTTACTTTTCATCCCGGAAAAATGAACGGTTCCCGTGGGAACTAATAGATCTCTAATAGTATTTTTCTAGTGGCGAACCCGAGCGAAGCGAGGGTGAGTCGCTAGTATAATAATAAAATTATAAAAATCGATCCAAGTTTGGCGAAGGTTTTCGTGTGTAAAACTGACACACTAAAAAACTACAACTTTGGCTTAGACAAAAAATTCATTTAGAAACATCCTATCCAGAGATACCTCACAAGTTTTAGTAGACTTAAAAAAAAATGTTCACCTCTCAGTTACATGTATGGAGTGCCACTCCTATTCTATTTATTTTTTTATAATTTGTCAATTTTAACATTTTTAGCTCTTTCTAATATTTAAATAAATATTTGGATTACCAACTGCCTATTTTAAAAATACATAATGCCTTTATTTTAAAAATACAACACAAAATATTCTTTAAAACCTTTATTTGCTTTCATCCAATATTACCCTTGAAAAGTATAATTCTTTAATATAGACCATTGCATCCACATGGAGCTCGTCCTCCATAATTGGCTAATCCATTGCAACCATTGACGAGAGAACCAGCACCGCATCCTAAAACTCCAGCTCCATAGCCCAGACTTCCAGCTCCATAACCTAAGACTCCATCACCATACCCTAAAACTCCAGCTCCATAGCCCAGACCGCCATAACCTAAGACTCCATCACCATATCCTAGACCTCCAAAGCCATAACCAGATATGTCTTCAGATAAAATGCCAACCTCTCCATTACCACAACCATAAGCAACCGCACCAGCGCCCGCAGTGGGCAAGGCACCTTCCAGAGCCACTGTTCCCAAGAATGGCACTGCACCGAGAACTTCCAGAGCGCCTTCATAAACATTCTCGGATACTAATGACACACCATTGGGAGCAAGTGGTGATGCACTTGATGTTGGTAGACCACCTCCATTCGAAGCGGCCAGTCCTGCAGCGCTAGAGGCGCCAATACCGTATAAACCACCTATCTGAGAATATCCAATACCGTTACCGCAAGGAGAAGCGTATGGGCCGAGTGTGCCACATGGAGTAGCAGCACAACGATTACATGAACCGATGAACTGTGCAGCTATACACTGTAATAAATATTTAATTGTTTTTATTAGACCATGCGTAAAAGGTTTTTTACATTTATTTTCTCTTCATAATAAAATATTTACAAACTTACTTGAATGAGTAGTACTTGAGCACAGGCAATAAGAAGAACTTTAGACATCATGTTGTATGGTGTCAGTGACCGAGTAGCGAATGTTTTTTTAGAAATAACGATGAGTTTTTATACTTAAAATGTCTCAATCATTATCAGTGCGTATGTTGAAAATTAACAAATGCATTTAAATATTACAAAAACGTACGTGATGTGAAATTTCACTATTTTTATTTTTCACCGATATATAATAACAGAGTAGGTATGCAAAATACCATCATTTGTTTTTTTTTAAATAGATAGGCAACGTTTGAATCTTGCAAAATATTGGTAGCACTAAAGACTTGAGATAATACGTCTAATATAAAACTACAGCATTGCTTTGTAAGTCATTGTAACAGAGAAGTCTTTACTAACTGTTTATTAATATATAAATTAGTAAAAAGCCCTAAAAATGAAAACTTTTGCATTCTTTTTATTGTGTGTTCAGATGTGCTTGGTTCAGGTAAGTAAATCGATAAAAATTAAACTAGTTGATATTTGTGAATATTTTCTTAACAACCTCTGTTTTCAGGACGTGTTCGGTCAGTACCTACCTGGTGGTATCGGCTGCGGTGCCGGTCTCTCGGGTCCTAGGCCTTGCGGTCTATATTCCGGACTTTCTTCTATTGGAGATTATGGTTGTGGTAGCGGTATCGGAGCTCCTGGGGCATATCTAGGTGCAGGTCTGCTTGCTTCGGAGTCTGCTTACGGTTTTTCCTCAGCAGGAGCTTACGGCGGCTCTGGCATTGGTGATGTATTAGTGTTTGGGGAATTGCCTGTTGCTGGTTCCACACTGATCGGTGGACAGGTGCCTATCCTTGGCGCTGTTTGTTTTGAAGGAGCTGTCCCTGCTGCTGGATCGGTTTCTATTGCTGGCAGTTGTGGTTGTGGGTGCAATGGTTACATTTACTAAAAACCTTTCAAGCGCGTGATTGTAATAAAAAATTATATGTGTCATAAATTATAATTAAAGGAGTTGCAAAACGTTTTGTTATTTATTTATACACTGTGTAAAATTAAAGGGATCGTCTTTTTATGCAATTAATTATCAATTATAATCACAAAAAAATTTGCAAAAAATGTATCTCTTAATGGTTTTAAATTAATAAACTACTAAAAATAGATTTAAGGCAAAACATTTTAAAGATTGCAATCTAGGTATTATACAAAATTCTTATACATAAAAAATATAGATAAGTGCGAGTCTGACTCGCACACTGAGGGTTCCGTAGCCTGAAACATTAAAATAAGTCTGTAATCGCGTTTTTTTTGTGATGTAACTACTTTACTGGTTTAGAATTTTACCCCTTACTTGTACCATAAGACACTGTATTTCTTGCTGAATTTCAATATTCTAGGTCAACCGTATGGGTTTGATTCCTTTGATTCCCTTCGATTTCCTTTGATTTTGCAGAGTACCGTATAGGTTTTCATTTCGTTTACCAAGTGTCAAAATGTGGGGCATTAACGGCTGTATCTTTTGATTGTGTTGACTTAGAAGTTTGATTTTAACAGCTCCAAGGGATCGCAGACCTTAGTATTTGATATTAATTTCAAGTCGATAACCTGTTCCTAATAAAAAGGATCTCGATAGAGAGACAGACGGACAACAAAGTGATCGTATATGGGTCCTGTTTTCTTTTAGAGGTTCCGAACCCTAACTCATTTAATTTGAAGTGTAATAAATAAATTTTTGAATTTATTTATTTATTTCAATTGAGTACCCAAGAACATACTCGTGTATTGTGTATATTTGCTCGATTAAATCACAGATAAATGAAAAAAAAAAAACTTTTTAACAAAAAAATTCCTAACTGTCTAACATTCCTTACAACTGCAAGAACAATTTCAAAGTTACTCCTTGTTACCACATTTTCCCTGCAGAAACGCAGATATTAACAGCACATAATCGCGTCTTAATTTTTTGAAACGCCAGGACAGACCCTCGGCAATAACTTCCTTTTATTAGAATTTTATAGATGTACGATATAATTACTTACAATATTAATTTTATAAATTATGCTATCAATATTAACATAGGTCAATAGCACATAAATAGTAATTTGTCACGTGCGGTCTACTTCTTACATAAATCTTACTTTAATTGCTACCACGCAATTTGTAGGACAACGTGGCTGTTAAATTCTAGTATAAGCAACAGTAAAAAAATCAGCTGTTTAGTAATTATTTTTGATGACCTCGTTATCGATACATGTTGGAAGGAGGGGACTCTTAAATCAAACCATACATTTTGAAGGACAAATATTTTATTGAATAATGTTAATAATTATCTTAAGATTTAATAAAAAACCTACAGTTAGTAATAATTTTTTTAGAATCGGTAAATTGACATATTTTATCCCTGCTACCCCTGTTAGCTACCACAATCGAGAATTTTTGTAAAAGATAAAGTTGGGCGTCTCATCAAAATGAATCTACTCACAGAAAATTAGCTTGATACTAATCAATTATAAAAATGGACCCAATGGATCTCGGACTATGTAATATTTTTAACAATAATTATTGAGCAAGCAATTAAAGTAAAAGTTATGTAAGAAGTGGACCGCACGTGACAAAATACAATTTATGTGCTTTTGATCTATGTTAATACTAATATCATAACTTACAAAATAAAAAAGAATGTAAGTAATTATATAATACATCTATAAAATTCTAATATAAGTTATTGGTTAAGGTCGGTTCTGGTGTCTGTACGTATGTTCCCGCTTTAATCTTAAAACTTACTAAACAAATTTAGATGTGATTGTGCTGTTATGATCTGCGTTTCTGCAGGAAAAATGTGGTAACAAGTAAGGGGTAAATTTGAAATTGTTCTTGCAGTTGTAAGTTGTAATGTTAGAAAGTTAGGATTTAGGGAATATTGATCTAATAGCGCAACTATATACTATATACGAGTGTGTTTTTGATTAGTCAACTGATATAAATTAAATCAATAATTTATTAAATATTTCAAATTACGTTAATAAGGGTTCAGTATCTCAAAAGGAAAAAACGAAACCCATATAAGATCACGTTGTTGTCCGTCTGTCTGTCTGTCTGTCGAGACCCTTTTTCTTAGGAATGCATGTATGTATCAAGTTGAAACTAATATCAAACACTCAGGTCTGCGATCTCTTGGAGTTATAAAAATCAAACTTCTAAGTCAACGCAATCAATAATGCAAAAAAAATATATTTAGACACTTGGGAAAGGAAATCAAAACCTATAGGTATGGTATTTCCTGTTGACCTAGAATGAAGATATTTGGCAAGAAACAAAGTCTTATAGGACAAGGAGTACAATTCGAAAACTGTAAATTTGTAGTCACATCATAAATTATTTTTTCGGGGTTATACATTGACCTATTTTCATGTTACATGCTACGGAACCCTCAGTGTGCGAGTCAGACTCGCACTTATCTATTTTTTTAATGCATATGAAGTTTGTGTGTTGTAGGTTGCAATCTTTAAAATGTTTTGCTTAAATCTATTTTTAATTGTTTATTAATTTAAAACCATTAAGAGATAGATTTTTTTGAAAAATTTTAATACTTATAATTGGACTCATAAAACCGATCCCTTTAATTTTACACAGTGTATAAATAAATAACGAAATGTTTTGCAACTCCTGTAATTATAATTTATGATACATATATTTTTTTATTACAATCACGGGCTTGAAAGGTTTTTAGTAAATGTAACCATTGCACCCACAACCACAACTGCCAGCAATGGAAACCGAACCAGCAGCAGGGACAGCTCCTTCAAAACAAACAGCGCCAAGGATAGGCACCTGTCCACCAATTAGTGTGGAACCACCAACAGGCAATTCCCCAAACACTAATACATCACCGATGCCAGAGCCGCCGTAAGCTCCTGCTGAGGAAAAACCGTAAGCAGACTCCGAAGCGAGCAGACCTGCACCTAGATATGCCCCAGGAGCTCCGATACCGCTACCACAACCATAATCTCCAATAGTAGAAAGTCCGGAATATAGACCGCAAGGCCTAGAACCCGAGAGACCGGCACCGCAGCCGATACCAGCAGGTAGGTACTGACTGATCACGTCCTAAAAACATAGAGACTGTTAAGAAAATATTCACAAATATCAACTAGTTTAATTTTTATCGATTTACTTACCTGAACCAAGCACATCTGAACACACAATAAAAAGAATGCAAAAGTTTTCATTTTTAGGGCTTTTTACTAATTTATATATTAATAAACAGTTAGTAAAGACTTCTCTGTTACAATGACTTACAAAGCAATGCTGTAGTTTTATATTAGACATATTATCAAGTCTTTAGTGCTATCAACATTTTGCAAGATCCAAACGTTGCCTATCTATTTTAAAAAAAACTAAATTATGTTATTTTGCATAGTAACCTACTCTTTTACTATAAAACGATGAAAAATAAAAATAGTTAAATTGGACATCACGTACGTTTTTGTAATATTTATATGCATTTGTTAATTTTCAACACACGCACTGATAATGATTGAGCCATTTTAAGTATAAAAACTCATCGTTATTTCTAAAAAAACATTCGCTACTCGGTCACTGACAACATACAACATGATGTCTAAAGTTCTTCTTATTGCCTGTGCTCAAGTACTACTCATTCAAGTAAGTTTGTAAATATTTTATTATGAAGAGAAAATAAATGTAAAAAACCTTTTACGCATGGTCTAATAAAAACAATTAAATATTTATTACAGTGTATAGCTGCACAGTTCATCGGTTCATGTAATCGTTGTGCTGCTACTCCATGTGGCACACTCGGCCCATACGCTTCTCCTTGCGGTAACGGTATTGGATATTCTCAGATAGGTGGTTTATACGGTATTGGCGCCTCTAGCGCTGCAGGACTGGCCGCTTCGAATGGAGGTGGTCTACCAACATCAAGTGCATCACCACTTGCTCCCAATGGTGTGTCATTAGTATCCGAGAATGTTTATGAAGGCGCTCTGGAAGTTCTCGGTGCAGTGCCATTCTTGGGAACAGTGGCTCTGGAAGGTGCCTTGCCCACTGCGGGTGCTGGTGCGGTTGCATATGGTTGTGGTAATGGAGAGGTTGGCATTTTATCTGAAGACATATCTGGTTATGGCTTTGGAGGTCTAGGATATGGTGATGGAGTCTTAGGTTATGGCGGTCTGGGCTATGGAGCTGGAGTTTTAGGGTATGGTGATGGAGTCTTAGGTTATGGAGCTGGAAGTCTGGGCTATGGAGCTGGAGTTTTAGGATGCGGTGCTGGTTCTCTCGTCAATGGTTACAATGGATTAGCCAATTATGGAGGACGAGCTTCATGTGGATGCAATGGTCTATATTAGAGGATTATACTTTTCAAGGGTAATATTGGATGAAAGCAAATAAAGATTTTAAAGAATATTTTGTGTTGTATTTTTAAAATAAAACCATTATTACTGGGCATTTGGTAATCTAAATATTTATTTAAATATTAGAAAGAGCTAAAATTGTTAACATTTCAAACAAATTACAATCTTAAAAAAAAATAGATTATTAATAATAGATTACAAATGTCGAATCAAATAATCAATCCAACTCAATCCGATCAAATTCAATCCAATCCAATTCAAAACTGTTATTATTTGTTCTGTTCTGTTCTATTCTATTATAAAGTTGTAGTCGTTGTAGTTATCTAATTTCCTGATACATATTTTGATTTTATCTTACATGAATGACTGAATGAATGAATGAATGAATAACTGTTTATTGTACACCCATAAACAAAAAGAGAAAAGAAAATATACTAAATATAGAACAAGGTACAAGAGGCGGCCTTTTCGCTAAAAGAGCGAGTTCTTCCAGGCAACCTTTAGGTGTAGGAAATAGTACTAATCAGCCACATAAGCAATTGTTAAATGTACAACTATATATATATATATATATATATATATATATATATATATATATATATATATATATATATATATATATATATATAATATTATATATATATATATATATATATATATAGCAAACACGACGTGCATAATTATTTTTACATCCCGTTTGACTCTAATTAAATTCAAGTGTAATTATGATCAAATGTTACTAAATATTTATTATATAAAATTAAAACGATTAAGTAATTATTTATTCAAATTCTATAAATGATAATGGCTCAAAAATTTTATGTTAATATATCAATTTTATAATGTCTTAAATGTGCTAGTATTTGATCAAAATAAATTATTGCCAATTAAGTCAAATAAATCAATCAACAAATTAATTTAATTATACAACAATTAATATCAAACGAAACAAAAGTCAATATTTAATTAACTGCAATATAGTTTATGAATTATGTGGTGGTATTACCAAACTGGACGTATACACTTTCAAACAAAAAATATTTTTCCAAATCGATTAATAATTGACGGAGGTCTGAGATAACAAAAATAAAAAAGAAATACCAAATTGAGAACCTACTTCTTTTTTTATGAAATCGATTGAAAAGTAAAAAATAATTGAATGGGAGTTTTCGTTTACTATGGTTATATAATATATCTATACTGTAATAAAATTGTAGAGGTCGAATGTCTGTAAATAGAAAAAAAATGCTAAAAACCGAGCCAGGGGGATGTAAGAAGACAAATATAACTAATCTAGATTTTTTTCTAATTTTTTGTTTCTCTGTCTGTTTGTCTGTTTGTACGGGCTAATCTCCAAATCTAAAATTAAAAAACTATAATATAACTTATACAACTTATGCACCTAATTTACTAAAATTTAACATTCTGATACCTTATATTACCGGTCAAACAATAGGTTACTTTTCATCCGGAAAAAATGAACGGATCCCGTGGGAACTAATAGATCTCTATTAGAACACTATAACATTACATACCTATATAACATTTCTAGAGGCAAACCCGAGCGAAGCGAGGGTGAGCCGCTAGTAATCAAATATTTTCTAAGTACATGCCAGCCGATACAAAGCAAATCAAATCTGTTTCGATGTGCAAGTGTGTTTGTTTGTTTGTTGGTTTGCTTGTTTGTTTATTTGTTTGTTTGTCCTTCTTTTTCGTCGAAACGCAGAGACGGATTAGTGTGATTTTTTGTGTGGAGATAGTTGGAGGGCTAGAGAGTAACATAGGCTACTTTTTACCGCGGGAGATTAAAAAAATATTAATGATCAGAATTACTTGAAATTTGGTATGAATGCTCTTCAATAAAATTTAATAAATACTGTTTTAGCATTTATCCAAATTCATTCTATAAGGGGGTAAAATAGGGGATGAAAGTTTGTATGAAGCTACCTTTTTAGATATTTTTTGTAGTAAGCGCGACGAAGCCGCGGCTTCTGCTAGTACATCACAAATTGATCAAAAATATTTTGACTATAATTATAACTCATAACTTGTCATATTTACCGAGTAGATATTCTTATCTGAAAGCTTTGTAGGCTGTCACCGACTTTGATAATATCTTATTAAGTATCTATAGTAAATGAAAACTCCCGTTCAGTAATTTTTACTCTTTAGTGTTTTTATATCACATAGATTTACTATTTATTTACTATTGTACATAGATTTTGAGGAAACTGCATAGAGTTCTTTTATAAAGTTTCTCTGAATATACCAGACAAAATGTAGGTTAATGCAATAGAAGTCTGAACTGACCAAGTTACACGAATATCGTATTACATTAGTTCCTTTTCACCCGATTAGGAAAGTCTGGGTCCGGAAGCCAAACAGGCTTGCGGCGTTCACTTCTTTTAAACTGGCTTTCTGTAAATAGTAAGATAGTTCATAAAAACTCAATAAGAAATTCTCTTTAACTTTAAAATAGCATTTGTTTTTATTAACACTATTTGTTTACTATGTTAGTAGTCTATTTTCACCTACCTATTTTTAGTTATCACATCGATTTAAATCTTTGTGAGAAAAACGTATGAAAATACAGTAATTTAATACCAACGAGTTAATCTGATGATGAGGTCAGGAGTATAATAGAAATATTTAACCGTTAAAACAGTCGTTTGGATTCTTTTTGACGAGACACATTCGATACAAACAGTCATTCAGTTTTTAGTTTCTTTTCAACTATAATTATGTGAATAAATTAGAAGCACAAACACATACAGACAATTTATGTTGTATTCAGGATCACGTGCCAGCTATCGTTCGTTGTTAGTAAAATGTTACAAACTTTCATAAATTTACATATAACAATTTACCAGTTTCGTTGCAAGTATTTTTTGAATAAATCGAACATACTCGTATTTGAAGTTTGAAATATGTACATAATAACATGTGAAGCGCGCTATTCTATTATACTCTCCAAACTCAGTAGCAAACTCCCTCACATTGCTTCAGTGGAATGGTGACCAACTTCAAAGAAAGAGGAGATATTTAAGTCACATATTTTGTGTGTAAATTACCAGATATCTCCGCCTATTATGAATCGATTTTCATGATTCCTTTTTGAGTGTATCTCAATAGATTTCTTATATAAATTTTAAGTAAAAATCCACTTCAAATGGTACAACTAACTTACTGGGTAACTGTTATAAAGTTATATAATACTAGCGACTCACCTTGGCTTCGCTCGGGTTCGCCCAAGCTTGCTTCCCAATACAAACTTTCGTCCCAATTTTCACCTCCTTAAGGGATGATTTCTGGGATAAAAAGTATCCTATGTCCTTTCCAGGATCTCAAACTATGTTTTTACCAAATTTCATCTAAATCGGTTCAGTAGATCCAGAAATTACTACAACGTCACAAGCTCACGATCTCACAAACTCACAAACTTTACCTCTTTATAATATTACTATAGATTAGTTAATCTCAACGATTCTATAATGACAAAGATATTTTCCTAGGTATTTTTATTAAATTATTGTTTTAAATTACATACTTCCACGTATAAAAAACCGCTCTTCACATACAATGTCTAAACTATGGCTACAAATTACAAGACTATCGATCCGGACGCACCCTTGCAAGAACTAGAGATTGCTATCTACATATTTATACTTAGATACAACAAAAGGGCATTCGAGTTATTTTATTAGGAGCTTAGAAGTTTCCGTGTTGTGTGTTGATGTTGAAAATTTCATATCATCTTCTCTAAGTTCTAAATGATTTAAAAAATATCCCCAGTAATATAATAGCTATACTAATTATTG